GAAACTCCAGAAGAATTGCAGACCAGTTTGTGGACCGCGCAAATTCAGGTGAAGCTTCTCGCGGAATGCGGTTCCATCTGGGGATTTCAACCACGTGCAAAACCCGGATCTGAGCCTACAGCCAACTCCCTCCACCACTAGCCCAGCTGATAGGCCCGCAACGTCGTCAGTCTGGTCCGGCTTATTGGAGCATGAGCGTGTTTGTTCCAGGTAGGATATGAGTATGGTGGTGTCATGAGGACTCATTTGCGATATCAATGAGCCAGGTAATCCTTTCTGTAAGAGTCAGCAACTGGCCCATCACGCGAGAAGGAAGTCATACTAGGATTCTTAATGGTAAAATATGAAGGTATCTCAGGTCCTCGACGCCGGGGAGATCGTATGAAGCCTCGATAGCCGCAGTAGCAACGTCTATTCCGCCAATGTGTAGATGTCCTTGGATGGTCCCGCATAGCAGCAAGTTCATGGAATAAGGAACGGCTGAGTCGAAATGGGTGAACGATGCCTGTCCCAAGTTGGCGCCGCCCACAGACTCCAGAATGATATGGAGAAGGGAGCAACAATGAAGCTCACTGAAGTCCTCGCATGATGGAGCAAGAGCTCTGTTCTGAAGCGACAGATAGACATTCTCTTCAAGAATTGGTATAACGATCATGCTACTATCGAGCAGCTTCCTGCATATAGCGAGGACTCCATATAGGCGGCAGCGGGCCTCAAGTGAGGATCTCTGCTCACAGTCAGGATCAGCCGGCTCAAAGGAGTGTGCTTTCGGCCTTAGTGTTCTCACCCAGAGACGGTATGCCAGCATTGCCCACTTCATTGGCGTAGCTGAGCATTGTGAACGTCTTTCAAGAAACGATGTAAGCGCGGGAACCTGTTCGGTGGCAACACTCTTGAAAACCCCGCGGATAAAACGAGCTCGCGCCAGTATCACTGCTCTGTCATGACCCAGCTCTAGAACGTCGGCAGGATGAGGTACGAAAAGCTCGTATTGCAAATTCATCTCAGAATGGACCTTTTTGAGGTGGAAAAATTGGAGCAGCTCCGGCGGGGCAGCGACCTCCCAGTATTTGCGGTCGACCGTAGGGCCAATGACAAAGAACTGTTCATGGGCGAGTGCAGAAATGAGATCTTGAGCAGAGTTGAAATATAATGGAGGCACGTAAATAGGAACAAGAGCATGAGAAGCCATGTGTTCACTCTTCAACATAACCAGCTTGTTCTCGAATTTCGAAGTATCCTCGAGATACGCTCATAAAACATTGCTAGGCGATGTATCTATGTGAAGTCGTTGTAAACAAGCCTGGCCAAGAATATTGCTCAAGTCGGATAACCAGTTCTCTGAACATCAAGGTAATGATCACTTGCGAAACATGAAAAAGAAAGTGTGCCCATAACAAAGCAGGCGTGAAAGAGAAAAATGTCCTGGGACGAGGGCGACGGAGGAGTAGTTCCAACAGCTAGCGCCCTACAGTGCTCAAGCAGCTCAAATCCTGGCGCCCAGGCAACTCCGCTGTCAAAATATCCGGGGTCATGACTGGTAGCGCGCAAAGTACCTGCAGCTACCAAAGAGCGCCGCCCCTTCAATAGTCAAGGCACGCCTGCGTGGTTGAATCCTGGTCGGTCGCCTTCAGATGAGACCGCTCCAGCCGGAATTCCTACGTCTCTGCATGGAGACAACAGTTTGCAGGTGGTTGGGGGAGACGTGGTTTGTACACATCTTGGAGAGGCACACCGGCGCGGCTCTGTCCGTAAGACGAAGTCTGCTGCGACCCACCATGCTCCTGTTCAGTGCACCGACAAGGATGGAAAGAGCACACCTACAGGATCTTTGGGACGTATTGAAGTGCAGAGGCGCAGGCACACGCCTCCCTGGCCCTGGACCCATGCTTGTGTAGGTACTCCGTACTGCACGGATACCTCACCTAACTGGAGGGGGCGTTTCGGGGTTGCATTTTCATCATGGGAGAGACTTTGATTCGTGTCGTAGCTAACCTCGCGTGCCCCGCCTTCCCCCCCTTGTTACTCTGATGACATACCCCGTTAGATATGCAGCCTCCATGGATGATGAATAGCTTTCTTCAAGCATTCGATCCCCTGCCTGGAGTTATTATGTCGTATGATTCTCGGCTCGCCGTGTAGTGTAAAGCAGGAGAGTCGAAGCCAGGATGGCTCAAAGGGCCGTTGACGCTTATAAGATGAAGAAGGAGCATCGAGCTAAGACCTGAAAGCGTGGGTTCAAAAACTGCGCCGCAGATCTTGTCCTCATTGGCACAGGGTGTAAAGCTGGGAAATCCCATGGGATGTCCTCTCCATAAAATACCAATCATGCCCTTTCTCAACGCAGTGTCACCTACGTGCTGCATGTCAAAGATACCCAAATTTTTATTTCCTCTTGGGTTGGGGGGGGGGGGGGGGTTGGGGGGGCGAGCTCATCCTTTCCACACTGTCACTAAATGCACTTTACCACCCTGTGACCAGAAGAAAGCGAACATCTAGCAAGTCAACACATAGCTTACTATTTTTATCTGTGCTCCTCCACATGGAAATACTCAAATGAATACAAGATTCTCTTAGTCTTTTCTACAGTTGAAGTTTTGTTATCTTGAATAGTCGTTCATTCAGCATGAATAGTACAAGAATAGGAAGAGGATAGTACCGAGGTGTTACTCTATCTACAATGTTGGTTTTTTTCTGATCACAGGGCGCCTAGCAACTCGCACAAGAACTGTGAGTGCGCGCCCACTCCACCCCGTCTGTTACGTACCACCGGCACCGGGTCACGTAGACGGCCCAGTCCCATAACGTGTTCCGGATCCCGGAGGTCAACTGTGTTGACAAACCTCACGGACCGATGGGCTGGTTCTGAGAGATCGAAAACCCTTGGACCACCGCATCCTGTCGATTGGTGAGATATTAGCGATCAACGCTATGCGGACTCACAGATGTAAGACAGGCAATTCCATCGTGGGTCCTGAGTTGAGTATTACAGGCCGACGGATCCATGCAGAGAGGGGTGGGAGTCCATCACCGCAATGGATAAATATCGTAGTTGTTGATAACGGCGATTCAGGGCCGGTCACAGGTAATCCATAACACTGTTCGGCTGCCGGCGAAATCAGACCTCAGCAGGGACACGGGGCCGATTCGACTCGTATCATGCTCGGACGCAGTCGGCAAGTGGTCCATTTGATTGATTTGATAGACAAAAGTAGAACGTGGGGATAGACTGATATAGCTGAATTCGGAATCTGCTCATCTGGAAGCAACTGCCGCAAACTCTTAAGTGTGCTCGAACCAGCTGAAAGTCAGGTGATCCGTCCGCTGGGTCACATGAACCGGATGTATAATGCTCACCATCCAGCTTTAACGGCTTTGGGCCTCGAATCTCGGACATGGAATCCTGCAACCACCTCGAAATGGATTACGGACCCTTTAACGGATCTGTAGAACGGATTATCCCAGCTTACCTGGTTGATTAGTACAAACCATGGATGGGGCTCCCCAGGTCCATCGCTTTCAACGAGAGAGCCTCCGTTTCTTAGTGGTCTCAGGGCTGAGACGCTCTTGGTAGGAGAGTCGGCATGTCTTACCGGAAAACCATCAATGGAGGTCGTCGCGCCACTCCACCTCAAACCAACTTTCGCAATCTGGTACAATTGGTTGTTCTTTGGCCAAGATGGCGTTCCCTATGCAAGGCCCGTCACCAGTCAACCTGAACCCTAACCACAGCGTAGAAGTCGGGTCGATATTCACAGCTCTTTGTAAGGAGTCAAGTCGGATTTGACCAACACAAGCTGAGGTTCCGTCGGCATAGCGAAGTAGAAGTCCAATAAGGATTGATTTGCCCATGCGTTGGCGATGGCACGGGGCAATCTAAACCACGTCCTTAAGCCTGGCTCTGTTCCAGGCGTAATACTCGACATGACGAGAGAGATGATATGGGGTTGGCCACTCGACTGCTGGTTCCTGCTCTCGATATCTAGGTCGACGTGATTGGAAGCCTAGTCTTCGTACACCACAAGCCGTCGTCTCAGCGTAAATATGGCTTGTGGCCTTGCTAGGCAGGTCAATAAGAGTCCACTTAGATCGGCTCCAGTGTGGCCGTGGCTGCACTCCTAGAAAGGTGGAACGTCCTTGATCCGTTACGAGCTGTGCATTGTGAGCAGACTTCAACATGGAACACGAACGGATCAACACATACTAGTAAGCCGATTGCGGTCCTCAGCTCGCCCTCGAATTTCCAAATTTGCGTCAGTGCTTCGCCTTAATGAAGTGGCATGCAAAGCCATATCGCAGCTTCATCCATCGTCCGGGAGGCCTGATAAGGGTCGATACTTTGTCCGACACGGTGCGCATGGAGCATCAGAATCTCCCAATTCCAACAAAGTGAGTAGGCTGTGGTCTGTGGATCGTTACAAGACACTACTGACATGTGATTGCTTGGTTCTGCATCACAGATGTCTTCGAATCGGTTACGCACGAACGAGAGATACGGGAGGCCCCAGTACAATTCTTGAAATACTATTGTGTCGTCGACGACAAGCTCACGCAGTTTCAAGCCCTGAAAGCTCTGAATTAGCACGCTCGACTAGAATCGCTGCAGTACACTAAAGCTCACGTCACTGCGGATCCGAATGAGGCCACCAACGTCTTCCAGTTTCACGGCTTTCCACCATATGCCAATTTCTTGTTCAATCGCGCATGGTTTCCACGAGTCAGCGAACAACAAGTGCCGAATACCGAGGTGATCGCTCGCAATGTACAAGCTGTCGATGAATGTTGAGAGACTTGGGTCAAGCAAAAGGAAATCCTGGTTGCCACCAGGCGTGTTCCTCAGATGGCCGATGTACTGAACACCTTCGAATTTTAGGTGCCTAGCATAGATCTTCTTCGAAAACTGGACAGAAGTGTTGCCCCCCAGGCTGCGATGTTAGAAAGGACTTCTCTGGGCAAACTTGAGATGTGGCGACTAGCTGTTCGAATGACATCAGCTAGATAGAACTCAAACCAGCGAATACGTCTTTTATCCGCAATTGCTGGAGGCTCGAATGCATGTTCTGCAGCATCAAGAATATTTGTGAATGTTTCTGGAGACGTAACTTCGATGCAGATATCATGGCACCCAATCCGTTGCTCGTCATGGTCGTATCGTCCACGACACTGGACATAATCGACATCCAGAGTCCTATCGATATAACCACCGATGCTATACTTGTACCATAGAGAAATTTTCCTATCGGATCACCGTACTAACTGAAAAGGGTTGTGGAAGACTTGCCTGCCACTATGTCATCTCCAAGCTGGAGTTCAAAGCGGCAAAGTCCGCAGAGCCGCGGTACAGTACACAAATAGATCTTGTCATCGTCTTTAACAGCGCATGATAGACGTCTATCGCAGATAGGAGAGATCGCAAAAGAATCTTGGTTCATTATGGAGCCAGCTGGTGATTTGTAACAGAACCACCCCCGCTTAGGTGAAACTTACCGCATACATACATACATACATACATAGTTTATTACGCCCCGGCTAAGCTATTCAGGACTCGTGCGATCATCTACATACTCTCCACTTTCGTTCATATCCTTGCCTCCCAGAAGCCCATACAAGTTTTGTCTGCCTCCGTATGTGTCATCTTCAGTTTTACATGCCAATGCTGCGGTTGCTCGTGGTGTTAGTGACAGGCCATCTTGAGGTTGTCTCCCAAAGTGTTCGGCGTCCTATCGTCGGCGGCCGAAGCCAGTCCTGCTGTCGGTGGCACGAGGGTGCGTGGGGGGGGTGTCGTCGGTTAGTGTGTTGATGTAGGTTGTGTGTGGTTTCGCTGCTGGTTGATCTGTGCATCCAGTCTCTCTGTACCCAAAGCAAACTTGATGGTTTCTTTGACAACATTTACGTTTGGCGACCAGTCATCAGGATCAGACGCGCACTTTCCTCCGGGAAAGTACGATAGGTTTCCTCTCCGCATTTCCGTCTGTTGAAGCATCTGAGTTCGTCGTGCCGTCCACTGTGTGCAACGGAAGAGAAAGTGCTCGACCGATTCTGCCGCTTGTGACCGATTCTGCCGCTTGTTCGTAGGCGCATTGCGCCGAGGCAGTTGCACTGATCTGGTGCAGGTACCAATCCAGTCTTGCCATTCCGGTGCGCAGTTGCGCGAGGATACTGGCTTCTTTCCAAGAGAGCTCATCATATAGCTCGCGCGTATGCCTTCCTGGTAGAGCGGCATCGATCTTCTTTAAATATGCTCCTACGTTGCCGGCCAAAGCTCCGTACTTCTGTCGCACGCTCTGTAAAGCGATCCTAAGCGCCGTCGAGTAGGCTCTGGCCGGCCGTTTCTGCGGTATCTTGTTCGGTCTCGTCCTTTCCTTTGCTGCAGCTTTGGCCGCTTGCGCCAGGTCTGACTCTACAGCTGATGGGAGCCAGAGGAGCGCGAATCTATTGCCTCGTCTCTGCAGAGCTTGCATGCTGAAGTTTAGTTGTCGGACCTCTCGTTGGCGTGACTGCTGCCGCGGGTTGCGCATCACTGACACTGCCGCTTTGTTGCGGGTGAACACGTGGATAGCCCGGTACTCGAGTTTCTGGGGTAGAGACTCGACTGCTTCTGCCAGTGCCGCCAGCTCTGTTCAGACATGGACTCTTGGAGCGTCCTGCCCAAACGGCCTGGTGACACAGTACTTTCTTCAAAGAATGCACTCACTGTTCGAACCAGACGTTGAGATTTCCCATGCGGAAGCAGTGCGTGGCGCTGGATACAAAATGGGTACGGCGAATGATCTTCTTGAAAGTATTACATTATCGTCAGAGTATGAAGGGACCCATGACCTTGACTCACATGACATCTTCAGCCTGAGGGTGACGGATGAAGGTGACGGCTTCGATAGTAGCCTGGACTTTGTCGACCCAAGTTGGGGCATTTGGACTCCTCCATCGGAGACCCGTCATTGAGCATGCAACTTTTGTAGTTGTGGAGTAGCACAGATAAAATAAGTATGAATGACGATAGGGCCAGTAATCTTTGGAATGTCTCGAAAGCAAGGGGGATAGATAGGTCAAGACGTAGCGGTTTGGGAGACGAGAATGTGTTATATGTTGCGAGGCCAGGGCCACTTTTGCGAATCCTACACGGCTCAGCTAGAAAAAGGTGATGCATCGACGGCTGAGGAATACGAATGGGTCAGTCATCAGCGAGATTCGAGTGCCGTTTTGGTAAGCTCTGCCTGAATTGTATCCGTGTCATCCCATACTTTGAATGCGTGGAGCTAGACTGCCACGAGAGGCTTGAACGCGAAACACTGAACACTGAGTGCCCCATAGACGGTGACTGGATGACTGAACCTCAGTGTTTTGTGGTTTATAGCTGCCTATAAGTATATTGCCACGAATATTGCTTCCCGGTCCTGAATATGACATCTCGGAGGCGAGATCTGAACGAGCATTGAGAACTCAAGTGTTTGGAGGATGGCTAAGTTGATGACTGGATTCCGGTAATTACGCGGAGTCGTGACGGAACGGAAGCCACCGGCTAGTTTCCTTTGGTAAGTCTGTTCGTGATAATTCCCACATTCAAGGAGCATCTTCATCCGGTCCTGGCATCATCATGTTGTCATGTATGTTGTAAACACGAGATGATTGAATTTGTCCTCTGGCCGCCTCTTCTTTTCAAGGAACCTAAGAAGCAAAGAAGAATCAATAAAAATTCTAGTCTGAGAAGCTGAAGAATTCTATCTTCTCTCAGGCAATAAGCCGTCAAGTTTTTCGTAGGTTATGGATAGCTTTCTGGGAGAGAGGCGAGAAGAGGTCGGGACCGAATTTGAAGATCAAGAGATCTATTTTGCTGCTCTGGTGACGCGGAGACCTCCTGAACAACGCCTGACTTTTAGTCGGTGTTCAGCGTGGCAGTCTTGAAAGTGATGTAGATCATAGGCCAATGATTCAAGGTACCCGTCGAAATTCAGCGCCACCCGTTGATGTCGTTGGAAATGACGGCGATAGAGGATTTAAATGAGCAGTGTACTGAATTAAAGGAGGAAGCTATGACCGTGACCTAAACCTCGAAAGACGGACGCATGGAGGAGGCCAATGCCGTCGTTGTCGTGACGAGCCTCCCCTGAGCAGAAAAAGAGAAAAATCACAGAGTCCGTCTGCAATACATTATGGACTTGGGCGCCATCTTGGATCTAGCTAATTGCAATGAAAGGAGGCTTGAATTTGTTGCTCCCTCCATAACAGGGAAATGGTGAGGATCAACAGACGTCACGATTTTCGCTGGATGATTCAAGTCGAAAATGCACCGGGGCTTGTTTAGCCCTGAGACTTGTATAAATCCAGAAATCCCCAAGTATCAACAATTATCACAGCAAACGGTGAAATAATCCTTGAAATACCTTGCTGCGACGAGGTTTGCTCGGTGAGAAGTCCTGTTGACGCCACAATCTCCCCTTTCCTATCCATCTCAAAGGGTTACCACCAAGTTCTCTGTGTTTTAATCTGACATCAATCTTCCGTCCAGATTCTTGGTTGCAGACATGACGCAAGTTCTCCTACACACATCGGTGGCGAACTGCGGTTCCCGAACTCTCGCACCTATCGTTGATCTGGGCCTTACGGTCCAGCCATGGTTGACTCAGACGCCTCAGAGCATTGAGAACCAAATCGAACCGCTCGACAGCGCCGTTCATCACCAAGCTCGTATTATCAAAACGCTCTCAACTCCTCAAAGCATTTGGTATCTTGCATGCATCACGGTGCTTAATCCTTCAGAGCCGGAGCTACGTCAAAGCTCCAATCAAGATATCGAGCGAATGTCCGACTTCCGACTCATCCACATCACGGCTGCCATCATTCACGAGGAAATGAGGGATCAGGACGAGGTGGCCTTCAAGCTGACTACCGAATCAATAAACTCCTTTGTTGGGTACTACGAAAGATCCCACCGCGTCGGTCTCGCGGAGAAGACGCATGGGCGGTCTGGTAATGATCGACTGCGGGTTAAGACGTGTGAGAACTTTACACGAGCCATCAAAGGGTTCGTGTACCGTACACATGTATCCGCTTTGGAAGGATTCGAAGAGGACGGAGCCGGCGAGTTGCTTGTTAATGATTATCAAAAGGTGAAGGATCATTCTGAGCATGATGGAATCACCAAATGGGATCTCTGCTATCTCTTGGTTATCTTGAGGAGAATACTGTCAAGCAAATTGTTTCTCTGTCAATATTATTGGTCCGGCCAGCTTGGTAGACACCTTTTCAACAAGTTACATAAACAAACTTCCATAGAATTGTACACAAAGCTGGCGGTTCCCAAAGCTCTTGCTTTATTGAATGTTTCTCTGCGCTGATCTACTCTTTCGAGCCGTCTAGCTGTAGTTCCCCTTTGTTGATTTGATTTGATTTGATTGATTCCTACTCGGTGTTGGCCGCTTTAGTCGGCAGCTATGCCTGGATAGCGGGGTTTGGCCAATAGGCGACGCGCTCCGGACGTTAATCCGCAGCGCCCCACTTCGCCAGTGCAAAACACCGACCAGCCGTCTCCAAATCTCCCACTTTGCTCTCCAACCTCATCTACCCCTGGCGGCCACCAAGTGTAGTTTGCGGTTCTCTACTAATGTACACGTGTGTCTAGGCTGTATTGAGGTCTTTCTCCTCCTACAACGGTTCAGCGTACCTACAGTCTCCTCCCAATATTCAGCTTAGTCTGGTATGCGACTCGATCCCGTGTTGCCCAAGGATCTCGGTCTGTTCTATGAATCGGATTGCCTTGGCGGCTGCTTTGCGCTTGTTCAGTATGACCCGGAGATTGTGTCGTCCTAGGAGGGTTCCGAATTCCTGGCGCCGGAGTTGTCGAAACCTGCGGCATCGCAGCAGGATGTGCGACACCATTTGTCGTCCCTCCCGGCATGGGCA